TGTGTTTACTTTTTTAGTTTTGATTTTGAGCAGCAAATTTGGAGTTACATCTTGGTGCTCACCAGGAATGCATAGGCAAAATTGCACAAATTTTCACTTGAAAGAATAGTGGCGATCTTGGGATTTTTTTCTGTTCAATTTTCAAACTGTGTAAATTTAATACACTTTATCTTCAGCATGTTTAGTGCCACTTTTGTAAGTAACCACGCCCCCGTTCAGGCCACGCCCCCGTCCAGGCCACGCCCCTTCCGCTATTTTCATCACTCGCCATTGCCATGTATGGACACAAGATCCCTTGTCCAGCTTTTATTTCTGTCATCAATTCCTGTTAAGAGCCTTGGCCGACCTGTTTGATGTCTGTTGCACAGTGCACCCACCAGTAGTCCCCCCCCCCTCCCCAGGATATTCCAAATTGTTGTATTGGCTTTGCCCAGTGTTTGTGCAATAGCGATTTTTGTCCCCCCCTTCTCTCAGTTTCAAAAATGGTTTTCTTTTCTCCCACACACAGCTCTCTGGCCTTCACGTTTGCTTGACAGCAAAATGCCATTTACACAGATGAAATGCAAAAGCCAAAACGAAGCACTATCTAATGTTGAAACCAGGGTTGCCCAACCCCGGTCCTCGAGGGCCCGTATCTGCCTTGTTTTAAATGTCTCCCTCCTGCAACACAGCTGGTTCAAATAATTAGGGAGATATGTAAAACATGCTGGGTTGGAACCCTCGGGAACTGGGGTTGGGCACCCGCGGTTGAAGCGATCAGACTAAAAGGCAACACTTGAGCAACGACAAACAGCCATCACTTCGATGTCATAATACTTCTGCTCATTTGAAATGTTGGTGGCTTCAAACAAAAGACAATGACGCTGTCCTGAGGTGTTTTATCACACTTAGATATAAATGGCATGAAATAAAAGCTGGAATTCAGAACTTTTTTCAATTTTTTTTGATCTGAAACGCAAACGCTTTCAGTATCCATAACAAAGGAATTGACCTTGCCGTTACAATACTTTTGAATGGGACTGTGTGCGCGTATAGAAATTAATTCCGCCGACCGTGTTTTCTGCAGCTGACCAAGATCACCCGTACAGGACCAAACACCTGGGAGACCAAAAAGATCATTTCTGTGTCTTTTGCTCCTCTCATACTTCCGAAACACAATGTAAACGGCAAACCCAAGACTGTCCCATTGCGTAAGTCACTTTTTATCTTTTATCAACAGTGCATCAAAAAGTACATGGCAGTGAACCATTTTCAGAGACCCAACTTGCTGCGGAAAAGCCAAAGCCCTTTTTATGCCTTGATGTCATATTTGCAGCCCCTTTTTGTTTCACATTTTAATTTTCGAACCCATTTCCGTCACCAATAACAAACTATTAACGTCAACAATAACACCACCTCATTTGGGAACAAAATCTTATTAAAATGAACAAAATGGTACAGTGCCATGACTGTACACCCCTTATTGTACAGTACTTGAGTAAAAGTCTTAACCCTTTCGTGCACCCTGTAACCTGATGCAATGGGAAGCTGTCCCTGAAAGGGTTCAAGTAGACCAGGGGTGTCAAAGTCAAATGGACGGAGGGCCAGATAAAAATTTTTGCTGCAAGCCGAGGGCCGGACTGATCGAATGTTCATTGAAAATTTTAAAAATAACCACATATTGTTTATTGAACCAAATTTAATTGACTGAAAACTGAACAAATACATTCCAATACGGTCAGATAAATAAAGCAACATTTTTTTATGGCTATGTCAGTAAACTTTAATTTTGTACAGGCACAAAAAAATTTCCTTTGTATAAAAATACCCATAACATGAATGAAAGAAGCCCTATCAATAGTCCATATTTTCTCTTTTAGCAAAAGTAGGCTAAATTTACTTAAAAGAAAAACAAATAATAGTGCAGTAATTTTCGATCATTTACTCGAATAAAATATTTTTAACACATAATTGGATTGAAATACAATAAAATGAAGTGCAAAAATGTATAAACCAAAAACAACACTTTCTTCAAGAAAAAAACTTGAACTGAGTAAAAACTCTTAGTATGTGATTGCACAGTATATTATAAGTAATATTCACTTCTTTGAGGCTGAGGCTGATACTCGGTGGTGTCTTAACTTTTCTACAAGTTCATCAATATTTGGGGTCAGGCTCTGAGCTGAGCAAATCCTCAACATTGAGTGAGGGTGTTCAGCAGTAAATCGACTTCTGTGTGATGTTTTGTTCAGCTTCATCAAAGAAAATAGTTGTTCACACACGTATGTGCTGCCAAACTTTCGACAACGTTTGAGCAGCCTGGATGCGCAGCGGGACCACTATGTCGGGGAGGAAACCGTCAAACTGCGCAGCACGCACTGCCGTATCTTTGCAGAAACACTGCAATTGTGTTTCTGCTAATGCTCACGTTTAAAAAGAGTTGCTTTTTTTCGGGGTAAACTTCGTCACAAACTTTAAGTATACCGTTTTTAATGAAATCCCCCTTCCCCCTCCATGTCCATGTTCTTGTTTGCGTGTTTCGTTTCATGATGTCGTCTCAGATTACACTATTTCAATCGCGCCACACTTTCTCCACACAGAAGACACACAGGTTTTCCAGCTACGTCCATGAACATGTTCTTCGACTCTCACCTTGTTTGAAACCCCCGGTTCTCACTGTCCACCTTCCGTTTTGCCATTTTTGATGGGTATCTGAAAGCTAATGTCACTGTTATGGGAACGACTGCTAGACGAATAAATATTTAAATAAAGCGGCCGACTGCTTGGCGCGTCACCGTTGCATTGTGGGAAATGTAGTTTTGGTGCGTGTAAAAGATCTGCGGGCTCTCGGCTTGCTGCGGTCCGCGGGCCGGTTCTAATAATAAATCAATATCATCCCAGGGGCCACTGAAAACATTCTCGCGGGCCGGATTTGGCCCGCGGGCCGGCACTTTGACATAAGTGAAGTAGACTAAACACATTTTTTGTACTTAAATATCAAAAGATATTAAATGTTATTAAGTATTCGAAGTGAAAGTACTTTTTTTTTCAAATGGGCATTTAGAATTTTGATTCTTTTTCTTTCGTCTTTACTCCCTTCCCTGGACTGTTACTTTATTACAGTATTTTAATGTCGCTGTCATTTTAGGTCATACCAGTGAAAGCAAGTATTGTCATGATTTTTTTGAGATCTGGACAGGTCTAAAAAGAAAAAGAAAAAAAAATCGGCCCTACTTTAACTTACGTCTGTCCCTCCTTCCCCCCTTCAATCTCGTTTCGTTGTTTCAATTTTCCAGCAAAGTACGAGGTCCGAACACTACAGGAGCTCGCTCGTTTCTGCATCCGCCACACGCTACAAATGACCACCGACAGAGGAGAAAGCCAATCCCGCAGCCGTGGTTCCTCGTTCAGCGTGGGCAGGGGTCTGGCTGTGGCCGGGCTCCACAAGTACGGCCCTCGCTTCAAGCGCCGCCGTGTGCATCGGCGCCGCTGCAACGCCCTCGTCCTGGCCACCCGTCAGGTGGTCGGCAGCGGTATGAGCCCCTCTCCTCTGGACAGCAACAATAACCAGGGAGGGAGAGTGGAGGACGAGGAGGCGGCGAGGCGAGAGACGAGGGGCAGTCGGAGGGGGGCTCGAGGGGCTAGGGGCTTGATGGAGGAAGAGGAGATGGTGGAGGAAGAGGTTGAAGAGGAGCAGGAGGAAGAGGAGGAAGAGAGGGAGACGGGAGAGCTGCTTCAAGTTCAGCCTGCTGTCAACGTGTTGCGAGAGAGGATCCTGGGCCTTCCGCTGCCTGAGCCTTTGAAGAGGTTCCTCTTGTACTACAGAAACAAGTGAGCAACAAAGCCAGCAGAGACTGAAGCCCCCCCCTGCCAACCTGTAGAAGGCAGGACAAGCATGCCTGACATCCTCTAGCCCTGCCTCATAGTGGACCAGGGGTCACCGACTTTTAGGAGACAGGGCTTCACAGTTTCTTATATGCTTCTGGAATTGCTCACGTTACCTTAAATGATGATGGTTTCTTACAGTACTTATCGATGATGATTTGACAATGATAAAAATAAATGTGCAACACTATGAATCACTTCTACAGCATTCCTAGGATTTCACAATGTCCCATCAGCGGTGAGCCATTTTCTCAAGAGGCCTGCAGGCGACTAATGTTTGGGGGCTGAATGGTGCCCTCGGGCGTCATGTCTGGCGACCCCTGATGTAGACTCGAGTACTCAGCAGTCCCATCTTGTTTGATCGTCGTGCAGTTTGATGATTTGCTCCTGAATGTGTGTGTCAATGGGTTAAACTGCTTTAAAAAAATAAAGGCAACACTTAAACAGAACAATGTAACTCCAAGTGTTCCCTTTACTTTTTTGAGTATGAGATCCAGACATTTTTGTATGATGTATAAGGAAAGGTGAGGTTTTTTTTTTTTTTTTTGTAAATTGAGCTGTATTAACTGCTGTAATAAAGTGGATTATACTGAAGTTAAATACTGTAGTTCTATTATTGGAGCCAGCAATAAATTCTCAAACGCCTTCAAACTTCAAGCTCAGGCAAAAAATGTCCAACAGTCATTATGGCTCAGTGAATCAATTGTTGAGGCAAAGAAGTAAAAAGCTGGCCAAAAAGCTTTTCTCTATTTCTCAGTTGATAGTTTTTCAAATTGACTACATATTTCTGACATTTGCGTGAATTCAAGGCAATAAGCAGAATATAAACACATGTATTGAATGCAGTGATGAGTACTGTATTCAAATCATCCAGACAACGTGTTCATTATTCATTTTTATAACTCATTTTCATTGCCAACATTTTGAACAAATACACAAAAAAAAAGTTTTTTTTTTTTTTTAATACAGTTTTAGTAAAGTGACAAGTGAAGACTTGCAGCAAGCTAAACCTCAAAATGATTACATCTCTTCAATTTTATACATCAGCTACATTACCATCTGTAGGTAACAGTTCCACGTCTTACTCTTACCACTTCTGTTGGAATGTCTGGAGGGAAATGCTGAACAGGGAAAAACATTTTGAAACAAATACACAAAAAAAAAGTTTTTTTTTTTTTTTTAATACAGTTTTAGTAAAGTGACAAGTGAAGACTTGCAGCAAGCTAAACCTCAAAATGATTACATCTCTTCAATTTTATACATCAGCTACATTACCATCTGTAGGTAACAGTTCCACGTCTTACTCTTACCACTTCTGTTGGAATGTCTGGAGGGAAATGCTGAACAGGGAAAATGCAAGTATCCACAACTGAATGGCTTCTGACGTGCAGAAATTAAAATGGTAATTAAATAAAGTTTAGCTCATTAGTGTTCATTTTTATTACATGCCATCAAGCTGGAAAAAACTCCTTTAAAAATGTGTAACATGATGAACATCCATATTTTGTGACATCTTAAAAGACCAAATGAATGTAGCCCAAACAGCCAGAGCAGACAACCTCAGACAGGTAAAGGGAAGGTTAATGTTGTTACCATAGCACCTGTTGGTGGGTGAGCCTTTAGGCACGAGTGAGCAAGAAAATGGATGTGGCTTGGTTATAACAGCAACTAAACTGTTGATCTGCTCACCGTTATTCATGCCTCCTAAAGTGGCCTGAAGTCGGTCAACTCGTGAGACATCAACAGAGTGACGGCTTTTAGCCTCATTAATGTGCGTGGGAAGGACAAGCTCCAATTCGGTGTCAAAAGATCCCACAAAAGGAGCCGGAACACAAATGCTGAGGGGCATCACAGCTTGCTGTGGAGCTGTGGACCAGTTAGTGTCAAAAGTGCATTTTTCATCAGATGAATGGTTGGGTGAAGCGAGCACTATGCTTTCAACTAGAAATTCATCACTCGCATCAGGACCACTTTCACGCAGACCGCGTTGCCTGACTGGCGCCAGTGGGCCCGTTCAGCAGGACAAATGTCACTCATAGTGCATTTTGACGTTTGTGAGTAGAACAGAACTAGTTGAAGGTTTGCTAAATATAGTCACAGATTAAAAGTACCTGACAGTAACAAATAGTGGTTACATCTCATGGTATGTAATTTTTTTCCCTACAAAGCAGCATTAATCCTTAAATTTTCATAGGCCTTGAGCAGATTCCACGATAGTGTTGCCTTGGACAGAATAAAAAGTATTCTTCTCTCTTCTTGGAGTCGTGCTCCAGATTGTGAAGGTGCTCAGGAGAGGTTGGCAGATTGCAGCTTTCACTTGGGCACCAGCCCACGGGATTGTGGGTAAATTGGGGATGCTGGATTGTGAACACTGAATGAAGAGGTCCAAGTGTTTGATTGCTTGCCCGTTCTTGGTCGACTGAATGACAAGAAGCCAGGACAATTCAATTCATGATATCTCAACGGGAACATATTGGAATGAACTGCAGTAAAAATGAGTATTTGCACAACTTACCCAGACTTTGGTTTCCTGAGGCTTCCACTGACACTGGCAAGTGGTGCAAAGCTACTATTAAATCCAGAGGCATCAACCTGAAGATCCTCTTCATTCCTTAGAGCGTCCTCCAGAGCCGCTGCCACCTTTGGGGCGATAACTGGCCGCTGATAATCTTTGGTGGTCCGAGATGGCATATCCATGCCTAGCAAAAGGATGTTCTCAGCCTGGGGGATGCGAAAAACACCGATTTGTGACATATTTTATGCAAACTATGATGCACATACAATTTCAGAAACAAAAAAAAATACGATCAAAATTATTCTAAAGTTACTGGGTAATGAATAAGGAACTGCAAATATTTTCCTATTGGCTCATACACTGACGTCGCACTCATACTTGAGGGTCAAGGTGAGACATTGGACTGCAGCTGTGTTCTGAATTGACTCCAAAGAAATCATTCAAGAATAAAGCAGCATAAAAACGTGGTGTGAGGTTGTCAACACACAGATGAGATAGAAGGAGCTTGTCATAGAACTGACATTTTAAAGGGAAATTTTTCACTTCAATAAACAAACTTACTTTGTATCTCACGTCAGGGCTATCCTTCATGGCTATCCGAGCATGGTTACTGAGAGGCCGTCTGAACCCAATGGCAGACTGAGGCCTGTTCATCATCTGATGGTCACTGAATCCAAAACAAATATTAGGTTTTATATGTTTTAACACTCGACAGACAGTTTATACATCAACCAGCCATAACATTATGTTCATTGAAAATGAAGATTCAAATTTGCTTCATGAAGCAGTTGTAGTTTTTTCACTCCTGTAGATGACACTGCTGGCTATATTATTCAAGTGGACAATAGAACAGGCTATCCATTTGGGCACAGTATCTATTATGGTGGGAATAAGAAATTAAGGACCAGGGCAACTCACTCCTCGATATGTGTGATGGGCCTCATCTTCCAGTATTCATCCTCGTCATCGAAGAAAGCCCTGTTGACTATTTTGCTCTTCTCTTCTAATGGAATGAAATTTTCAATGATAAGATGCCTGAAAAACAAAAGGATTAGAAAAACACAATGAGAAAGTTGAAGTCATGGCGAATACAAGAGACCAAAGCAAAAAGGTCAGCTGAGATGACATTAACATCCTGATTGTGTGTGTGTGTGTGTGTGTGTGTGTGTGTGTGTGTGTGTGTGTGTTTAAATCACACTAAGATCATCCATCGATTATCTAACCCGAGATTCTTGATGTGGTAGTGGTCAAAAGTAATCATGAACTGTCCACTAACTAACTAATGAGTTAGTCAGGACATTTTATATCTGTACACGTTTATGATGCAGATTTGATGATGTTGGTTTTGAGTGAGTGTTTGAAAACAAACCATTTTGTGTATGGCGGGCATATTGGTGACACGAAAAAGCATGCCATCTTTTCAGTTTGACTCAGTAGTGTAACGTCTAGACTCCGTACTTGAGTTTAAGGTCTCGAGTGAGCTCATTCTGGGTCTGCTCCAGCTCCTGGCGCTCATTGATGTGCGCTTCCTGGATGTCATGGATTTCTGCCTTCACTGCTTGTAGTTTGGCAAACAACTAGAAAGAAAGCAGAGACACAGAGAAAAGATCAACTGCTGAACTCAAATAAAACAAATTGACTTTGGAACAACCAATTGAACTTCCACAGAAATGAACTTAAAACTGACTTGAGTAATACAGTACTAATGAAAGTTGAAGACTTTTGAATGGTGGTTATTATCCCGTTGGGTGAGCCATGACCTCCAGCCGAGATTTAAAGTCTTGAGATTTCACGGTATGCTTCATTTTTGTGTCTCTAAGCAAAGAACTGAAGTGACTTGCCCAAAAAGCTCCAGTTTCCTTCTCAAATGTCTAATGACAAAGACGTTCTCAAATTCCCGTCTCATTAATTCTGTGGTTGCTACCTTTTTCAGTTTCTTTGTTTTGATGTCAACTTCCTGTTGCAAAGAACTGTAGGTCTCCTTCAGCTCCAGAGTCTCCTCATCTCGACACTCCATTTGCTGTTGCATCTCTCGCTCTCGCCGTTTCTACAAAACCACAAAAGCATCAAGAACACAGACTGGCCTATGTATGTCATTTGTTAAAATACATGCTCACAGGCAGGTCTTTGTTTTAGACATTGGTCTCACTTGTGTATTAAAAACCTTGAGCTCTGTAGTACAAGAGGAACCTCTAGTGGATTCCAGGATGTGGTGCCTAATACAGTCAAATATGTCTGAGTGTTTTTCAGCATCTTGCCATTCTACAGTTGTTGCTTCCTGCAATTCTAACACCACTGATGAGTTTTTCTTGTTCCTTGGTGAAATCAGATTTACAACATCAACACATTGTTAATACCTGTTCAGCAATTTCCTGCCTTTTTAGCTCCAGCATCTTTTGCTGCTCATTGGTATGATCCACAATGTTCTTCCCCCCAACTAAAAGTTTACTTTCCATTGCCTGGAAAGGAGAAAAAAAAACATTAAATCAAACGAATTCATGATTTCATGAGTCATCATTACATTCTGGAATGGAATCGTAGAGGACCATTGAACTTTGACAGTCCCCATATAGGAGAGCCTTCATTCTGAACATGACCGGCCAAACGTTTGGGCACAATACTGTACTATCATTCATAGCATGAGCAAATGTGTCCAAACTTTGGACTGTTGACTAATTTACACCAGGTAATCGTTTGAATGAATTCACCACAGACAGGCACTTACCCTGACTTTGGCTGACAACATGTCTCCTGCTTCCTGCTCTTTTTTTAGGTCTTCCATTTTCTTCTCCTTCTCCTTCAAGAGTTGAGCTTTCTCCTCAGCCACCAGGCTGTGATCCTCCATGATGGCTTTCCTCTCTTTCTCCAGTTTCTCCTGCTGCTCTCTCCAATAATCACCTTTGTTTCCCTCAGCATCATCATCGCCTTCGCTCTCTTCATCGCGACCATCACCACTGCTACAATCACCCATCCTCTTTTGCTTCCTCTTGTTTTTCTTCCCTGTACGCTTCTCCAGTTGAGCCTTCAGTCTCGCAATCTCCTCCTGAAACTTCCTGAGCAGAGCATCCTTGGGGTCCTCATTGACACGGGGCTTATTCTTAATGTTCTTTGCTCTGTTTGAGTAGCGTAGTGTTGTTAAAGTCTCTTCCACGTTGTAAGAGGCTGGGCCAATATTGGCGACCATGACAGTGCGCGCGTTACCTCCAAGAGAGTCCTGTAAAAGGCGGGTCAATTTAGAATCTCTGTAAGGGATGTGGCTGCTCCTGCCATCCACGAGAGCCGATATGACATTCCCTAAAGCAGAAAGTGACAGGTTGATTTTAGTAGCTTCTTTCAGCCTTTCCCCCTGTGCCCCAGTCTTGGTCTGCCTTTCGCTACCGGCTAGATCCACCAGATTGAGTTTGCCAACTCGGATGTGGTTCTCCCCATCCAGTCCCAATTCACTGCATTCTACGGTGATGACAAAGATGGCATGAGAACGGGAGCTGTGTTCGTTCATGTTGGTGGAGCCCACTGAGCGATTCTGATTGCCCACATTCATGACGTTTTCGATTTCCCGCACACTCTTGGTGACGAACGATGACAGGTCTTTCACATAAACACCAGTGTCCGGTCTCTCTCTCAACTCCAAACGTCGTGATTGGTCCTTGGAAAGTAAATCTCTGATTTCCTCTTGATAAATCTCCAGATATGACGCCCGCACCAAGTACTGTTGATTCTGAGATCTTGAAATGTGAGTGAAGATGTGGTCGAAAGAGTTGGGAATAACTCCTCTCCTCTCGGGGTCATTTCTTACACCCTCCATGGTGTATGTTTTTCCTGTGCCAGTTTGTCCATATGCAAAGATAGTTCCATTAAATCCTTGTAGAACTGAATCCACAAGGGGCCTAAAGGTTTCATCATATAAATCTAGTTGCTTTGAATTGCAGTCATAGACCGAATCAAATGTGAAAACTTTGGGGAGCTCGCCAGCAGAAGTTTCCCGAGGATTCCTGACAATAATTTGCCCAAATTTGACATCAACAGACACCACACACTCAAATGTGGCGGCCAGTTCTTTCTCATTCATAGGGCGACAACGGACCACTACTTTCACTGACTCAGAACTCTTGGTTTTGGACATGATGTTGACCAGAGGATTGCACACTCAGCTTGAAATGCAGTTCCCTCTGATTTTAAAGCAGGGAGTCAGGGAAATCCGGCCAAAAGAACCATCCACATCAGAACCTATTGACAAAAACAACAACAGATGTTAATGACCGACAATCAAGCAGGAAGTGTTTGTGTTGACATATTAGCCTACATTGCAGTTCGTCATTATAAGGGTACTATTGCAATGGAAAGACACATATTCATTCATATTGCTGCAACATATTGAAAGCAATGACTGTGATAAACACGAATCAGGTGACTGCAGAATTTTAACAAAGCACTGATAGTTAAAGGTGAAAACCATGGACCCCTTACTAAAATTGGCCCAAAACAGCAACAACTTGCTAGCATCTTTAACCGGTTAATGTTGAATCTTCAGAGTTTTCGGCATTGAGAGAACTAGCACGGCACGCGATTAGATCGTACCTGAACGGCATCATATTATTACAGTTAGTAAAATTCCTCACCGTACTGGACCGATGAACAGACGCGAACTATAATATAGAACAACTCACAATGAGACGACAAAAAACGACCAAGCACCAGCAAACACACAGGTAACCAAGGCTACAAGTCTTATGAGCTTTTGCCTGGCTGCCGAAGCTCAGTAGGAGTGTTCGGATACATCCACCATGCCACGAAACAAAAAAAGTAAAGCGCTTAGAGCGTATACATTAAATACATACCCTCTCCCCGGTTATTTCAAAATCGTTAAAAAATTTATCAACATCCAGCTTCGTACATTAGCTAATCCGACTCAGTTAGCCACTGGCTCTTCGCCACAATAGTCCAGGTTTGAGTTGCCAGATCCTATACCTACATCCCCCAAGTGAGTGAACGCGGGAAGTAGCTTCTGTATTCAAAGTGATTGTCTGCATTTAAAAAATGTATACCGACTTGTAATTTGCTTTTAATATGTTCGAACACATTGTTAATGTTAATAGTTTGTGAATGATGAAAACGATTCTTAAAATGCATTTTCCGTATAGATCTGGCAACCGTGTGGTGGCTGATGACTATCAGCTGGTTTGTCTACTTATAGCAAAACATAAAACAAGGAACTAGAACAAATCACAGGATTGAATAAATGCTTTTATTTATTGAACATGATATGTAGTCAAGTTTTGATTGGAATTATAATCGAAAAGGGAGTTTACATGATATGTAGTCAAGTTTTGATTGGAATTATAATCGAAAAGGGAGTTTAAATTACTGACACTGAATTGACACATGAATTTAAATGTATAATGCACTGATGTAGAACACGATAAACGCATTATTTGTTTTTAAAATAGCACATATTGCCTGATAATTACGTTAACCGCTCAGGAACATGACGTACACTACACGCATCCAGTAAGAGATTAAGGAAAAGCAATCGACAGCAGAGCCACAGATTTGCAGTTTGTGATTTTGCATCCTCTCTCTCTCTCTCTCTCTCTCTCTCCTGGGCCTGCGTGGGTTTTCTCCGGGTACTCAGGTTTCCTCCCACATTCCAAAAACATGCATGGCAGGCTGATTGGGCACTCAAAATTGTCCCTAGGTGTGATTGTGAGCGTGGATGGTTGTTCGTCTCTGTGTGCCCTGCGATTGCCTGGCAACTGGTTCAGGGTGTCCCCCGCCTACTGCTCGAAGACAGCTGAGATAGGCTCCAGCACACACACACACACGCACGCACGCACGCACGCACGCACGCACATAATGACTCAGTTTTGTGCAAAATGAAAATTATTTGACTGTGTCCAGACCTTGATAAACCGAATTTGATAATTATTGCGAGAAATCATTAAAGTGGTCATTGTCTTGACATAGATTATTATTCATTGTTAGTAACATAACTGAAGGTAATTTGAGTAAATTTGTGATTTCACAAGTTGTGTGCGAAGAAATTGGTAGCCCTTTGCATCCGCACCCAGCTCACTTTCAAACATTTTGGTGGCCCTGATTTAGCATATTCCTCTTATTTAATCATATGTTTCCTTTCTGTATTTCACCTTTTATTTTCCTCACCGTTACCTTTCAAGTATACTGGATTATATATTGTGGGCATTTTGTATCACTACTGTGTTTACGTTCGGTGGTTTGGGATTCCAACCGTAAGTAGTTCGTGAATCATCTTTTTTCAATGTCCATTTACTTAACTATCGAACCGTTCTGTCAGCGTCGCTGGAGCAACAGAAGCAAACACTGATGTAATGACGTTTCGTTAGAAAGAAAGCCAAACGTCAGAAACGCCCGCGGGAACGTTTGACACGGTTGACTGGTTTCGTCAAATGAATGGCCAAATAGCTCCGGGATCACGTGATGGACTGAGTACAACAACTGTTGGGATAGTTTAATGTCGGTGATTAATTTTTAATAATTTATTACAATAATCAACCATGATCCGCATATACAGATTAAAAACAAAACAAGTTTACCGACATATTCACGTAAGTGTCAAATCTTGTTATTGACAATATTTTGATTATTTGGGCGTTGTGTGTGTGTGTGTGTGTGTGTGTGTGTGTGTGTGTGCGTGTGGTTTTTTTTACGATGTGACCAATCGAGTGAAAAAAAATATGATTTGGCCTTTTCAGTGAGCACATGAGTGTATTTTGCAGCTATGGTGTGAAAGCGCTATATAAATCAGCATGTATTGTATTGTATGGGAAAAGGCCACTGTTGATTTGGTCCAAATAAATGGTATAACCATAGAGTAATTGTTGTGGTCGCTCCATTTAATACCATCAAGTTTACAGTCAAAAGAAGGCATTCATGTCTTTGGCCAAAATGTATTTAAATGACACACTGACACAGGACGCAATTACTTGATTTTAGTGGCAACAGGATCATCTTTTGCCATTTTTAGCTCGACTGTTGCCAATAACGTTTTATTTTTATTTATTTATTTTTTAACAGATGACAGGTTTTTCTTTGTTTCTTCAGCAGGCTCGGACCTGCACTTTCAGATGACGAGATTTCACTAGAAGAACATATGATACAGCACCTGCTAACCTGCACGTGTTGACCATCCCCTCCGTTCAAAATGTCCACGAACACAGAGTCTATAAAAGTCGTGGTGCGTTGTCGTCCTATGAATGACAAAGAAAGGGCAGCCACATTTGAGAGTGTGGTCTCAGTTGATGTCAAATTAGGGCAAATTATTGTCAGGAATCCAAGAGAATCTTTGTCATGCAAGTCATCAAAAGTGTTCACTTTTGATTCGGTCTACAACTGGAAGTCAAAGCAAATTGAGCTATACGATGAAAGCTTTAGGCCTCTTGTGGATTCAGTTCTACAAGGATTTAATGGGACCATCTTTGCATACGGACAAACAGGCACAGGGAAAACATACACCATGGAGGGTACAAGAAATGATCCGGAAAGGAGAGGTGTTATCCCCAACTCATTTGACCACATCTTCACTCACATCTCAAGATCTCAGAATCAGCAGTACCTGGTGCGCGCATCATATCTGGAGATTTACCAAGAAGAGATCAGAGATTTACTCTCCAAGGACCAAGCACGGCAACTTGAGCTGAGAGAGAGGCCGGACACTGGTGTTTATGTTAAAAATCTGTCATCGTTTGTCACCAGGAGTAAAGAGGAGATCGAAAACGTAATGAATGTGGGCAATCAGAATCGCTCAGTGGGCTCCACCAACATGAACGAACACAGCTCCCGTTCTCATGCCATCTTTGTCATCACCGTAGAATGCAGTGAATTGGGACTGGATGGGGAGAACCACATCCGAGTTGGCAAACTCAATCTGGTGGATCTAGCCGGTAGCGAAAGGCAGACCAAGACTGGGGCACAGGGGGAAAGGCTGAAAGAAGCTACTAAAATCAACCTGTCACTTTCTGCTTTAGGGAATGTCATATCGGCTCTCGTGGATGGCAGGAGCAGCCACATCCCTTACAGAGATTCTAAACTGACCCGCCTTTTACAGGACTCCCTCGGAGGTAACGCCCGCACTGTCATGGTGGCCAACATTGGCCCAGCATCTTACAACCTGGAAGAGACTTTAACAACACTGCACTACTCCAGCAGAGCGAAGAACATCAAGAATACACCATGCATCAATGAGGACCCCAAAGACGCACAGCTCAGGAAGTTTCAGGAGGAGATTGCGAGACTGAAGGCGCAGCTGGAAAAGCGTACGGGGAAGAAAAACAGAAGGCACAAGAGGAGGGCCGGCGATTGTAGCGATGGTGAGAATCAGGAAGAGGAGAGTGGAGATGATGATGTTGACAATAAGGATGACGAAAATAAGGAAAAGGACAACAAAGGGGATTATTGGAGGGAACAGCAGGAGATGCTGGAGAAAGAGAGGAAAGCCATCATGGAGGATCACAGCCTGGTGGCTGAGGAGAAAGTTCAACTCCTACAAGAGAAGGAGAAGAAAATGGCTGACCTGAAAAGGGAGCAGAAAGAGGGAGAGCTCCTGGCAACCAAAATTAAGGTAAATGATGTCCCCCTACTATTATGTCAAGGCATTTTTCATGACTAATTCATATTATAAAATTCCTTCACATGTAAGTTGATCCACCAAAAATCAACAGCTTTGAATGTATTGTACCACTTCATTTATCCCATAAGTAAAGTGCCTTTTTGTCCTGCAGACAATGGAGAGTAAACTCCTCGTTGGGGGGAAGAACATTGTGGATCATACAAACGAGCAGCAGAGGATGCTGGAGTTGAAAAGACAAGAAATTGACGAACAGGTACAAATGACGACAGTACTAGTTGAAGATGCAATTCTTCCTATGCCGCATCATCCCGCTTCGGCTGGTTTTGGATGACAAATACTAAAAGTGCACTGCATACATGCGTTTGCAAAAAATATTCACTGTCTTATTTTTATCCCGTGAACACGTGTAGTTCAGTCTGAGGTAAACGAGAACAACCTTTTTTTGTTTCCAGAAATGGAAAGAGCGAGAGATGCGACAACAGATGGAGAGTCGAGACGAGGAGAATCTGGAGCTAAAAGAAACCTACACTTCTCTACAGCAGGAAGTTGACATTAAAACCAAGAAAGTGAAAAAGGTCAGTTAAGTTACTGCGTAGATTCTACCTCTGCGTTAGCATCGTGCCAGGCCGGACTTCAAAATGACTTGCTCGTTTCTGAAAGACGTGGAATTTAGTGATCTTGTTGTCATCTTTGCCCTTCAGTTGTTTGCCAAACTGGAGGCTGTGAAGGCAGAAATCCACGAAATCCAGGAGGCACACATCAGTGCACGCCAGCAGCTGGAACAGACCCAGAACGAACTTACCAGGGACCTAAAACTCAAGTATGGGACCTGCTGACTTATACTTTGTCCCTCATGCATGCTTGGAACCCAACCTGTATCTGACATCAAGTTTTTTGGCAGTCTAACCTCTTTAGTGTGATCAGATTAAATGTCATGTACTTGCTCTTTCCAGTGATGATGCATTTTTGGGGCGGGGGGTTTCTTATGGTCCCGATTGTTCTTCCTTGTAGGTCTCAGATGATTGACAATTTTATTCCGCTGGAAGACAAAAACAAAATAGTCACCAGAGCTTATTTTGACGAAGAGGATGAATACTGGAAGATGAAGCCAATCACACGTGTTGAGCAGTAAGTCCAATATGATTCGTCTCTGACTTATTTATCACTTAATCATTGAGTCATATCCAAATGATTGCTTTGCTTTTGGGCTCAGGAAGCAGACTTGCTCGCTTATGATTCCCATTAAAATTCAGCCGCTCGACAAATGCGCTTTTCTCTGGCTCTCAGTTGGCTGTGATGGACGAGTGTGTTGAAAAGACCTGAATTAGATCCGATTTTTCCTGAACGTTTGATCGACTTCATTGCACTTCACATTCTTGTCTTAAACATGGGGAGCAATCGATTTACCCATGATGCAATACAGTCTTCACTTTATCCACAACACTGTGTCTACTTTTTAGCTTTTAGCTAATTCCGCATATGTGTTCAGTGATCCTCGGATGATGAACAGGCCGCAGTCTGCCGTCGGATTCAGAAGACCTCTCAGTCACCATGCTCGCATGGCCATGATGCTCAGCCTTGACATGAGATACAAAGTAACAGCATTTCATGCTCTTAATTCTCCTTGTCTATCTCGCTGTCTCTCTCATAAATCTAATGCAAGACAACCATTGCGACTGCAGCTCTAGTTATTAATGTCACAATGACAATGTTATAACAGACCTAAAGGGTCAGGTTAGCTAAGGTCAAGTAGGTCCAGTCGATGTACAGTATGTAAATGCTCTGCTGGGAATCATTCTCAATCGATCGACTTCACAATGTAAAAATGGCTTTATTAATTCTATTATTAACATTTCTCCGCGTCAGCAAGAATCCTTGATATTTTTGTACTCTACATTCTGTCTTCTTGGTGACTTAAATGTTTTGTTAATTTGTAACTCATGGGTATGCCCTGTCAGGCTGAAAACATCCTGTTGCTCGAAATGGATCTCCCGTCTCGGACCACCAAAAACTATCAGCAGCCAGTAATTGCCCCAAAGGTGGTGGCAGCTCTGAAGGATGCTCTTAAGGATGAGGACGATCTCGAGGTGGATGCATCAGGGTTTGATTGTAGCCTTTCACCTGTCGCCAGTGCAAGTGGAAGCATCAGGAAACCAAAGTCTGGGTAGGTCAAAGAAAGACACTTACCGTTACGCCATTTTGTTCAAATACGGTCATTTGGAAACAGTGCCTCCTGGTTTGGCTTGGTCATGCCAGTTAATTACATTTTTTTGTTTCCCATGGCTTTTATCCTTCAGTCGATCAAGAACAAGCAAGCAGTTGAACACTCGCACTGCCTCTTGCAGCCCTCAAAATCTTACCTCTCCAATGTACCCACAATCCCGCGGGCTGGTTCCCAAGTGATGCTGCAGTCTGCCAACAACTCTTCTTGTGCATGTTTTATCGCTGAAATATGAGCCAACAGAGACTGGACGGTAATATAAAGCATCATTTTCATATGCGTGAATATGAGACACACAAAAATATGTGAGTATTGCATTATGTTTTCATAAAAAAGGAAATTATTTTGCTTTCCATTCACCTGCCCAAGATTTAATTTGTTAGATTGTGTTTTTGGTGGGTTTTTTTTTTAGATTGGAGTTTTTCTTGTATGTTGAATTACATTGCTCATTAATTGAACTGAATGTGTGGTACTTTGGAAGATGTGTACGAACATTTTCATACATGCTAATCAAGCTTTTGTTTTTGCATTTCCTCCATTTGCCACAGCTCGTTTTTTGGCCACACGGGGGCAGTATTGTATCACAGAGAACTTTTCCATTGACTCGCGAGCAAACACGTTCAAACTTGGCCTTTCATCGCCATCTCGTGTTTATTTTCGGTAACTCTCGAGAGAATTCGCACGCAGAGAACATGTATGGCTACAAACCACAGCCATCCATGTGAATATACCTGCACAACGATGTAATACTTAATTGTAAACTCAACGAGATAGCAACAAAATCTTCATTTAAATGTGTACCGCTAATCAACAAATACGTCACACCTTTCAACTCCTCGAATGGTTCCAACTTGCTAGCATGCCAGCATGTCAGCATCAATACATGTTGCCCTGTGATGTACTTGCCGTAAAAGGGATTTCAAACATCTGTGGATTGTGGTCGAGACGTCTTGAGACCTAAAACACTTGACAGCCATTTCATCCTTGAGCATGAATCACTTCAACATGTGTAACCTCCAACCAATCGGAACTAATTTGGGTGAGCGTTCCAAAATGATGTGATCTGACTTTCTAATCATTTGTGTCCTTTGTGAGACTGGATTTTTTTCAGGGCGGTATTGTCTCCCTTAAGAAGGGGCCGTCCCTGAGGATGGGGGCAGGAGGGTGGTCTTGCTCTCTGTGTTTTAGAAGAATGTCTCTCAGTCAATAAAAGTGTGTTTGTGAAGACTTTTTATTTCTCCTCGCATAATTGACAGTACAAAGCATTCCACTTGAAAAGGTTCTATCAATGCATACACAAGTACAAGTTTTTCCCAAAACTCTTTTTGCCAGCCTGAACAAATTTTCCTCACTATTTATTGACTTGATACGAATAAAGAAATTCAGATTTGATAACTTTCGTGAATGACAGACTGCGGTGAGCTGTCTTTCCCACAGCTGTCTGTCACTGTCGCACCATTTGTTTTTGTTTGGGCCACGGTGGGCTTCATGGGATGACAAGTAAGGATGACACCACTGTGGAAAATAAATCATCAAAAAAGTCATCTTGGAATTTTCCAAACTGGATGTTGACAAGTCATAAAGCTTTTAGAAGAATGTCATGTAGACACATGAGACAAAATGGGAACTTTTTGGCAAGGTACTCTGTTCACAGATGCACAAATGTAGCATACCAAGAAAAAAAATACACTGTCCCAACTGTGAAACGTTGACGAGGCCTTACCTGTATGTTTTGCGTCTGTTTTGCTTCATCTGGCTCAGTCTCTTGAATCTGTGCAGGGTACAACAAAATCTCAAAACTATGAAGGTATTCCAGAGAAAAAATGGGTCATGGGCACAGGGCAATTATGAAGTGGCCCTCTATGAGCCCTGATCTAACATCTATGGAAGCCCGGAAGGAGCTGAAACACGCCATCTGGAGAAAGCAACCTTCAAACCGGAGACAACTGGAGCAGTTTGCCCACAAAAAGTGGGCCAAATACCTGCTGAGATATGTGAAAGTCCCACTGAAACTTTGCATTGATAACCTGAAATGGTTATGCAACAAAATATTATGTTAACAGTAGAACATCATTTCGGCAAGTTTCACGAGTCTTGTTTTTGGACATAATGTGTGTTCGACCACAATTCAAAAACAGTTTGACTTTCATTGGTTACTTTTCACTAAATGTTTACTCATTATTCCCTTTGTCAGATTCAGGCTATTTCTGTGACCACAATAGGGTTTTTCTTCCATTAACAGAGGGGTACCAACAATTTTGTCCATGTGTACATCTAATAATGACAATGGTGAGGTCGAAAGAATCCATGAAATTGCCAGTGATGCTGTTGGAAGCCAAAGAAACATCATATTCCAGATGAATAGATTTGGAACATTCCTGTGTTGAAGACGAGAACCCGGCTGAAGTTGTTGCTTTCCCGTTGAATAATGGAAATGTATTCAGGTCTTCATCCCCACTTTGGAGCAGATGTTGCCTGTCAGCACAATGACCAGCAAGATAAAAGACAAGTAGAGGAACCATAGTTGGAAGAAAAGATACCTGTCAGGCGGAAGCATGCAAAAGTGTTTTTATTTTATGGTGTCCAAGACAATGATTAGTTTTTATTAATAAGATTCAATGCAATGAGTTGTGTTATATGCAGTTGATGTGAAAATGACCCCTTTTGCCCTCACTTTAATCAGTTTTGGTTGGGAAACAAAAAGGTGCGACAGTATTTTGTGCCATTGGCCGTAGAGGTCTCACAATGATTGGCTAATCAGTTATGCAATTACTTGACAACTATTTTAATCATCAAGTAATTGTTTAGAGCCATTGTTGAACTTAAAATTGTCCAAATCGTCTTCATTTCAGCCTTTCAACAAGAATTGTTCGGATTTCTGCATTCCTTCATGAAAGCCGACTGATTGTCTTTCATGTTTGTTCAAAATAAGACATTTGCAAGCATCTGCTTTTACTTTGGAAAACAATGACCGAATCAGTCCCTGAATCCGTGTAAAAAATGTTGCTAAGTACAATATCAGCCCCTTGTGTGATATTCATCAGTGACAGTCCTAGTTTTAAGTTTATATGTGAAATACATGGCAGCCCGGTGGTCGAGTGATTCGTGCGTCAGCCTCACAGTGCAGAGGGGCAGGGTTTGATTCTGGCCCCGGCCTTTCTGTGTGGAGTTTGCATTTTCTCCCCGTGCTTCCATGGGTTTTCTCAGGGTACTCTGGTTTCCTCACACATTCCAGAAACATGCGTGGCAGGTTAATGGAACACTCCAAATTGTCACTAGGTGTGAGTGTGAGTGCGGATGGTTGTTTATGTGTACCCTGCGATTGGCTGGCAACCAGTTCAGGGTTTACCCTGCCTGCCGCCCGAAGACAACTGGGACAGGCTCCAGCACGCCCCGCGTCCCCTGTGGGGATAAGCGGATCAGAAAATTGATGGATGGATGGAGAGCTAGCAATCAACAAAAGCTGAAGGCTCATTTTGACTGGGAAGTGATGAATAAGAAAACATAACAAGATGGTTCATGTAATCAGATTTTGATACAAACTAATTTTTCAGTCTGCAATGTGAATAATTCAACAGCAGCTGTTTCCATCCACACACCTCCCTCAGATGCGGAGCAGGCCCACGGTGCGACACCGAAACAGGTTTGCCTCATTCTAATGGTTTCACGTCACAAGTGCACACGGCCACAGCACCAGCCACAAGATCACTGAGGAATGTCAATACATTTCCATGTTTGCCTTCCAGGGGTTTGGGGTCATAGCGGGGGCTGTCTGCATCGATGTGTCATGCTGCAGGAGAAAAGCAGGAAACAGAAAAGGAACTGGATGCGGGAGTGGTGATCGATGGGAAAGTCAACAGGATGATGGGGGTGGGGAGGACCTCATGAAGAAGGAGATCAAACTTCCTCGTCTCTCCTTCGGTAAAATGGTTACTGATAGCCATGCTGGGAAAACTCATTGCTCATAAAGGCTTGTCACCACATTACGGTGAATGAAATCGAGCATGATAATATCCCAACAGGAAGTTTTGTTGCCGTGACACTGTGACATAAGGCATCACTGATAGGAAAATGCTCAAAATGGCAATCCTCACACACACACAGGAAAAAACTTCCTATTACATAAATATGTTTTGACAAGTTCTAAAATTGTGGAAGATTAGTTGAGAACTGCAACATTTCTCCATCTTCACTTCTTTTTTTCAAATTGCTCTTTGACGAAAAATCCTGACCGTATGATTGAAGGTGTGACGGGCAGCAACGGCTGGGGGTTAAGAATGTGGTCTGTGACCCAAAGCCACCGGGCATGGTGACCCTGGGATATGGAAGGAGGAGGGGATAAATAAGATGACCCCACCCAAATTGCTCCTTGTGGGTGAATGCAAGTCAAACTTGGCGTTCTGAACTCTTTCATTCCACAAGACGTACTTGTACGCCTTTTTAAAATTAGGCCGCGCCTACCAAGGACTTATTTGTACGTCTAAGTCTTTTTTTTTGCGTCATAGAGAGGAGGAGGGTCTGATGCAATCTGTGAATGAGAATAAGCCGTTTGCATTGTAAATCATGTAAAAAAAAAGCGACCAGTAGGTGGCAGTGGTGCCTCACATGCTTGAAATGCGTGCTTTTACAGATGTGGTGCCTCACGTGCTTGAAATGCGTGCTTTTACAGAAATCTCTTTTTCTCCGTTTTTTGCCCAGGAATCGCCATTTTCATGAAATTTAGCCATTTATAATGCCGACTGCTGAAGAATGGAAAAAGATTTTTTTTCTGCTGAAAGAAGAGAGTCCAAACTTTATTTTGGTAGGCTCTGTGTTTATATAGCATTAGAACCAAATATTCTGTAGGCCTTGCAAGATCAGTGAAAATCCAGTAAAACGCTGGGATTGAGGGGGTTGCTCCAGTGAAAATGGCTGGGATTGAATGAGTTAACCTACTTTGAGCATGTCACTTATAGGTATTGTTTTTAATTTAAATCACAGTGGTTAATGGTGTGCCAATAGTTGTATTTAATAACGACGGATATTGTATTTATGCGGACAGGCTGTAATGTAACAAGTGTTATCAGGTTACAGGGTGCATGAAGGGGTTAACTATACCTGCGGGAAGTTGTTTTTGCATTGGTACCGAAGAGAAGAGATCACGTTCACTAGGAAACCCTGAACAAAATTGTCTTTGTATACTCTCAGTGTTCTCAGCAAAGTATATCGGTGAAGTGTTATAACCGCATTAACAAGTCATGTTACATTGATGTTTTCGTAAAACCTTTTCAAACCACACATTATGCATTTAATCAGGGTTTGGTTTCCAGACACGAGTTTGATGTGACTCATATGGTTGCTTTGTTAGACTCTAGGCAGTCCTTTAAAAAAAAAAAAGAAAGAAAAAAAACAAGCTTGCAGTGCTTCCAGATGTGGTCTGCCAGAATATTGGGAACCAAACATCTGCGTGAACATGAATGGTGAAGACCCAGCACCCTATGCCTGCAGCACACCACACATGAACTTTTGTCACATTCTGTTGAGGTGGCGCAATCATGCAATAAGCCTCATGTTTCATTTGTACGCATGCTTAAAAAAAGTGCGTATGGTACATGCGTACCATGTACAGGACTTGTAACACTCACTGCATGACTCACCGTAGGGTGTTACTCATCCAACGAGGGACACACGAATCGAAGGTAAGTGTTGTGTGTGACGGTTTGAGCTTTTACAGGCCTCTTAGCCATGTACACTACACGGGGAGCATTTCCTGTTTACCAATACGAAGCTATTGAAGCTCCTTTTCACTTCTCAGTGTTGAACTTTTTCTAACTGTATTTCAAGTTTCTTAAAGATGATGGATGCCTCTACACAAAAGGAATTTTGGGGTGTATCAAAGATTGCGGTCTTGTTGCACCGGGGGCCTCAAAGGCCATCATTGTGCAATGACGTTGTTGAGATTTTCATAGACCCCAAGCCTTTTTCCTGCAGAGAATGCAGACCTGTTACGTGAGCAAGCTCTGAACCTAGCAGGCAATGCTAACGTATTGCCACCCCAAAACGGCGTGTTTGGTAACAAAAGACTTGAAGCAATTTTATAATGATGCATTGTGAGGTGAAGGGAAGCAGCCGGGAGATTAGGAAGGAATAACTTTTATTTTGTAAAACAAGTTAAAGGCACTGGAGGCAAAGTCACTTGAAAACAAAAGATTTCTGATGGTGACAAGTTCAAATTATAACGTATCCTGCACAAACCACACAGCAACTGGGGAAAACCCAACAAGGAATGAGCAAAGACTGGTGGCTAGAATGTACACTGACTACTTACAGAACAAGAGATGAAAAAGACACCAGGGCAAGGAAGAAGCCGACACAGCTGGCACTGGACGATCAAAGCTGACAAGAACAAGTTGAGAGAAAGGTATTAAAAAAAAAATATATATATATATATATATATATTCTCTTGGTTTCCCAAAAAAATAAAGAGAACGGAAAT